AACTTGCTGATGGTGTTTACATTTTATAAAAATTAATAATATAAAATAAAACAAAAAGCGATAAACAGTGATTCCACTGCATACGCCTTTACAGTTGATTAGATATCGAAAGCAAAAAACCAACATGCATTTGCGGGGAGTCGATTAATTCAATTGATGAATTCAATTGTTATGGTTCAATTCTACCAGATAAAGAATGATTAACTTGATGAATTTAAAATGCTTAAATTTAAATTAACAATAATATTTTGAAATTAAATTGTTATAATTCAATTTGTTGTGCATCGGACTAACCTGAATCCTCATAATGATTAAATTATTTTATTTTAATTTTTCGAAGTGAAATTGACTCAACCCTCCCGCCTGGCGAGCATAGGTTTAACCGAACCCAATCATCAGCAGTGGGCTTATGCCCTCGAAGAAACGATCGCTTTTTTGACCGTCCAAACCTCCCATTTCTTGCCGCCGGACTGCATTAGCCGAGGCGGAGAATGGCGGCCACGCTCTTCCTCGTCTCCTCCTCCTCCACCCCTTCCTCCTCCGCTCCCTCCTCGCCCCTAAAGCTTACCTCCCGATACTTGCCCCTCCGCACCCACCGCTGTGCCGCTCTCCTCCGCCCGCCGCCGTCTCCCCCAAGATCGAGAAGCTCGGCATCCTGATGTCTAACGTCATCGAGGACATCCCGAGCAACGCCAGGATCGCGACCATCAAGGTGATCCAGGCGCTCAAGGAGGCCAAGGAATTGATCGAGGGCCTGCCGAAGAAGTTCAAGGAGGTCGTGTCGAGGGAGGAGGCCGAGAAGCAGCTCGAGGAAGTCCGGGCGAAGATATCCATCGGGTGAACTCCTTCTCGAAACAGAGGATGCAAACAATTCGATGGCTAGGTTTGCACAGTTGTGCTTCTCCTCTAATCTGTTCGATTGAGCTCGATGATCAGTCCTTGAACTCTTCCTAGCGAATTCAGGTTCTGTTTAGTCGATCACATTTTGTTGTTTACTTCATGTCACGTACAACTTGTTACTGTCGTTGTGGTAATTGTTAAATTAGTTTGTAATGATCTCACTGTTTTATATTGGCAGCTTTCTCTCTGACTCGTTTATCTTGCTTCTCTTAATTTGTTAAAGTAAATTACGATTGTCCAATTTGGATGTTGATTTGGAGTCAACCAAGGATTTACTCTGCGTCTGTCTCTGAGCGATATGGTGTTGAGCAAGAAGAGATCCATGCCGATGTCCTACAAGACTACGAAGGGCATGTCGGACAAAGCTCCTTCGATGCTTAAGTTAGTTCGGATTCCGAGAATTTAATCAAGTGCCGAGTCTATATGAAATCAAAACACCGAAAAAGTCCCCCCGGTGAACATACATGAGGGGCCTTTTTATTTTACGGTCTGATACCCTTTCACTCGAGGTTGTGATTAAATGCCTAGCTTCTTGATACCTTTGACTATAGATGCATCCATGTAGTACCGAATTTCGAAAAACTAGGTTAACTACTGGTTGAATCAGCTTCCTATGTAACTAACTCCATAGGGCTGCCACATCATCCGGATGGTGATGATGTGTCATCCGCATGACAATGAGGTGTTGGTCATGTATTGGTGAGGTATCCGTAGTCCTCCAAGTGTTGTCATCCACATATCAGGTGCCTCTCTCTGTTTGTTTATCTTGCATCTCTTAATCTGTTTATGTTAGTGCTCGCATCACGATCTGTAGGCATGTAAGCATTTTCATGATTGTGGTCAAGGATTTAAGTCTTTGGTCCAGTATGGTTTTATCAACCTGCTCAAACAATATGTTACCAGTATACTGTGTTTTATACCAATCTCTACCACCTGATATCATTGAGTATTTAATCAGACTGATAAATACCTGATCGTACCGACTAGCATGTTTCAATACCAATCTCTCCATTCTTCTATTTATCTTGTTTCCATCAGGTTTTATCTTAAGGTTAAAATGGATTTCATCATGTCTCAATGATTCAATTTAGTAGTTACCTTTATCATTAGGACAGGATGGCTATGTTGTCTATTTTGATTAATCTTTGCAAGTGGATCAATTGTTTGTTAATGTTTGCAAGAAGATGAATTGTCTGTTTTTCCAGAAACCATTCTAGACTAAGGCCAATTGAAAGATGCAATCAACCTTTGCTTGAAAAAATAAAAAAAGAGCTCAGTGAAGTTGTTGAACTTCTATTGCTTCTCTTCCTAGGATAAAGCACCAACTAAAATTCCTGTCCGAAGAAATCCTGGATTGGAATGATGAATTTGAATTTGACTAGCTAGATATTTAAATTTCATTTCAATATTCATTTTTTCTGTTTGAATTCATCCTGAAACCAATCTTATATTTCACTCGAGTCAGTTGCAAACCAGATTAAAGTATCTCTGATTCGATCTTAATTGATTGGGATTCCTACAAAACCAAATCCGTTTCTTTCCCTAATCCTGCAGCTTCTAAAAGAGTTCGACAGATGCAGATGCAGCATCTGAGAGATGGTTTCTTCTCCTCAGGTATGTTGAGATGGTGCGTTGGAGCTACAGACATGTCAGAAGATAGCTGGGAAGCCCTTGATTCCTGACTCTGACCATGTCATGGTGCGGTGGGAGATTCCCAGTCTGTCGGTGTGTGCTTCCATGATAACTGGGAGATGCAGTGGGGATCCAGCTGATGTTACCTCATGGCCTTCTTCAGTGATGCCAATGCTGCTGCCACTCCATTTGAGCTATCTCAATTGAGACCATGGGAGTTCCTGCAAATGCTGATAGTTCTGCTAACTTCAGGAAATCTGTGAAGAATGCTTTAGTTGAGACAGAGAAGTGGTTGGAGTTGGAGATTCTCTTCTGCTGTTTACCTGCTTCGAACAATAAGTTGCTGGAGGGGTTGGTAAGCATGCAGTCACTAATCATTCCCTGGCCAAATTCCATGAGCATCTGCTTGATGCTGCCTGAGATGTTTCAGGTGTTGATAGGCTTGAGCTTGTGGTGCTTAGTTGCTGGGATTGAACTTTTTAATGTGCAATGCAATTCCCGACTGAACTAATTGGATGGTTCGACCATGGACGGGCTTGAAGTGGAATGTGAGGTCAGGATAAGTAAGGGATTAGAGATGCTAGAGATTCCGGACAGAGGAGGAAAGAGAGGAGCATTGTGGAACTCATCACTGATAAAATTTCTGAAATAGCGGAGCCCTTGTTATCGGAGAGACCAGGCCATCATCAACATCATAGTCCCAACAGAGAAGCAAGAAAGGTGACAGGAGCTCTGAGTTCAAGTTCAGTGTAGTTGGGTTCAAGAGGAGAAAGCTCTCAAGATTATAGACCAGATCCCTCGTCATGGTCATTCCATAAGTGAACAAGGAAGGGTGAGAAAAGCAGAGTTTTCAATGGATGATGGTGTTTTGGCTGAATAGGAGACAAGGTCTGGTGGGTGAAGTTGCAAGAGAAACTAGCATCTCTCACTTCCCTATACGTACGTTAGGAGGTAGGCTTCTTTATCATCCGCTCGTTGGTCCCTGCAAAATTAGGGCACATTTATCAGGTTTCAGATAAGGAAAAGATGATAGGTGTAGTAGTGTATGTATCTGGTGGTGATCAGGGTTCCAATAACGGGATCTTATCATTGTTCCTCTCGGCAGCTAATGCAGATTAGGCCTTCTTTGACATGTTTAGAAGCTCTGTTTCCTCGAGGTTCTGACTTCTTTGTTGAATTCCTCTATGGAGGACTACATGAATTATATAGTTCAGTAAAGGTGAAAACTGCAGGAAAGAGGATTAATATATGAATGGCATTATGATGAGACTTTGCACTAAAAAAGTTCAAAAGAAAATGGCAAAGCTGATAGTAGTGTAAATGGCACAAAGGAGAGAGAAATGAGCTAGGGTAGTGGTGTCTGTGTTAAAAACAAGGTTGATTCATGTCCTGAGCTCAGAAATAATGCCAAAGAAGGTGACTTGAGTAGGAGAACAGACAAGGACAAAGATCCAGCCAATGTGGAAACTCAACCTACTACCAATTAGTGGATTCAGTGATCATTCTGAATTGAACATATTCGGCATAAAAAGGAAGTAGGGTACGTGTGAAGGTACTGCTGAATCTGTTTCAGAGGTAGAACACAAACCTACAAGTGCTTCTTAAGTATCTGGATCAAAGCAGAAGAGTCAGCAGAAAGAGGAAACTAACCACCATTCTGCATCTCTGCTACTGAAGTTTGCACCTGAAACTGCTTTGCCATCCAAGATTTGGCTTATGCTGAGCCTTGGTTGAGTGTGATACACAAATGTTCTAAGGTTCAGATTACGCTTGTGTTTTGTTTGAGAAAGGCATGGACACATAGAAGGCCTTGAAAAGATTAGATAACATTGGGCCTTTGTCATCTCAGTAACTAATCATGAGCTTTATTATATGCCTGGAAATGTAAGTTCTCAAACACAGACATCAAGTGTTCTATGCTTGAGAGGGTGATTTCCTAGCCTACTGGGTCCCATCCCAAACCCAAAGGACAATCAAGTGGATGAAATGAACAACCTATTGGAAAAGGTTAGCAAGCTTCTCACTGGACCTTTTGTTAGTACATAATTTCAGTCCACATGGTCTTATGCCTCCTCTTCCTTTTTCACTAGCTAAAAATATTCCATGATTGACATTGTAGATTGTTCCAAAAAATGTTGCCATTATTGGTATCTCCCTTGTGGCATTTTCCTACATTCAAAAATTTACTTATGCTTTTGTCGTAGTAGATGCTAGATTATTTTGTCTGAAAACTTTGGTTATCCTAAGGTCTGAGTTGCTGTTTAGGGATATTATACATGTCCTATAAGTATAAGATGTATGGTATTAGCCTTTACATCAGTTAGAGGGCATTGCTTATATCTTGATT